AAATCTAACCTTTCTATTCAAAAAAACTTTTTTAAGCCTCAAAATATTGCATTTGAAATAGCAGCTTTCCTTTAGACATATGATATCTTATCTTCACAATTATCTTATATCCAATTTATCTCTTAGACCCTGAGCTTTTTTTTTCTCAAACAACAAATAAGTGCTTGAGCTTCCAAGTACCCTGATATGATCCTTGAATCTTTTTACCACATTCAGCTCATAAACAAGCCAGTTGCATATGTTTATCTACCACAAAGGGGCTATATTCACTAGCTAAAGGGTCATTTTAGGACATGAAATTATAGTGTTTACTTGCTAAACAATAAAACACTTCCCACTCCTTTCATTCAGCTGTCACACTGCTGACTGTATCATAAAATTAGTTTAATAATCCACACCTTAGATAAGTGGCAAATATCACCTTGCTGACTGTCATGTTAAGAACATAATTCTCTTAATCTACAGCCAAGCTGGCTGAGACATTTCAAAACAAAAACAGCATTCAGTGTGCCAATCTATGCCAGGACAGCTCAATTTCATTTCTCATTATGAGTAAATGATTAATTAATAAATATATCACTACCAAATCTAATCGATTCTAAATAGCCCATTTCTGACCTTTTCTGAAAATTATATCAAAATGCCCCTGTAACTTTTAGAGATGGGCTGTTAAATGACAAACCAAAAATTAAAAACAAAAACAGCCTTTGAAAACTATGAATTCAAGGTATTATAAACAGGCCCCAAGTACCAGGGAATGCACATTCAAAGGACAGGTACATAAAGATCCTATGCAACAATATACAGAGTCAAAGAGGTAGTGGCATGAATCTACAATGATCAACACAAAAGGTCAGTGTTGCAGAAAGGTAACTTTATATTATCTCTGTAAGGCAACATTAGGGACACAGATCTAGGACAGAGATAAAAAGGACATTGGATGATTGAAGTCTCCTGAATATTCATATGGACATGGACAGAAATATGCACCTATTATAGCATTTATCATATGAACATATTTAACAGACAGTGCATGCTGGCTACATTCAACTCAACCCCTGAGTAAAAAAATTCACACAGGGCAGATACAGTCATCAAAATATAACAGCCTTATCTGAGCTGATTTTAAGTTTGTGCCATAAAATCATGGCTCAATTCTTTAATTTGGGTATTCATGCTCAAAAATCTGAGGCTTGTGATTGCAAATGCAAAATATATGCATCTATGAGGCCTGACATAGCCCAACCCTTTCCAGACTCCTCTCCCCTCTTCCAGTCAGCAAAATTTACCTTCTTTTCCATTCTGACTTTGACAGTGTCTGTTATCCATTGCTTCCTGAGTGCACTGTACCTATGCCTAGTCACCTCTTCAACTGGCAAGTCCAAGATATTAAACTCTTCCCAAGGATCCTTCAACTTCTTTGCCTTCAAGATAGCATGCTTCCAATGCTTTATATTGGGTGAGTCAATGGTGGGAATTGGGGACAGGTTCAGATTCAAGGGGGTCAGTCTTGAGCGACGCCTCTGCCTGAGAGTCATGAGGGGTTTTGCGGGTGGACTCCCCACTTCCATCTCATGATGGACTGGGTGGCCATCGTCCTCATGGTTGTGACAGTGGGATGATCTGTCAGTTATATTAGCATTAGCTTCATCTGAGTTGCTTTCATCAGCATCTTCATCATCATCATCATCACTGCAGAAAGTAAGGGGGAAGATTGTCATCTCCTCATCGGAATCAGAAACAGAATCATCTCTGGGTCTTTCAGTAGAAGCCATTCTTCTCTGCACTCACTCAAGTCTCTAATAAGAATGATGGTTTGTGTAATAATTCATCAAGCCTTTGGAGGACAAATCTGAAATGCAAAAGTATTTGTTTAAGATCTTTCTACTGATTTGATTCATAGGACAAATCCTAAGTACATATATGCAACTGTATATGAAGTGGCTTCCTCATGCAGACTGATATCTTATCAGTTTCTTGTCTTGCAAGGCTAGAGTAAGCCATGACATAAAAATCCCCATAAGCTAATTTTACTATCTTATACACCTTAAATAAGCCTCTTACATTAGTGACAAAAATCACTGAGCACATATATAGATATATAAGCATTACAGCATCTTTAAATCAGTGACCTTTTTAATTAACAATTTTTTTTCAAAATATTACCTAAATACATCTAAGCATTAAACCAAACATCTCACTGCAAGGTTGCAAATTCAACTCTGCAGTCAATGATAATGAATAAACAAGTAAATAAATGAATAAACAAGCTCAAAATACCAATACAATGCTTTTTTTACTACATTCTCATCCTCTCTGTCTGGCCTCTACTAAAAAAAGTTTTAAATACCATGTGACCTAACTAGAAAGTTCTCCAAACGTACCAACAAAATTGCATTAAAAAGCAATCTTGAATTTATAAACTCTCAAGCTAAATTGTCCTAATTAATGCCAACTAACGTTGACAATAATAAGAAACTTTAAACGTAAGGTTCAAGACCTGGATAAATTGCATAACACACACACACATGTATTGATGATCACACCAAAACAACACAGTAAATCCAGAGACGTGGTGACCCAGTTTTATTTTAGTAAAGACAACAGCCTTGACGCATAAATTCACTCGTGTTTCACACCTTAGCTCTTCAAAACTACTG